ATCCATTCAAACTCTGGGTATTCAACCTTACCAAACCTACACAAAAAGCAAATGTTGGGACGCCTGGGTGGCTCAGTCAGTTCAGTATCCAACTCTTGATTTTGGCTCAGGTCATGATCTTGGGGTTCTGGGATTGAGCCCTTGTCAGGCTCTAAGCTTGGTGCAGAGTCTGCTTGGGATTCTCTCTCCCTCTCCCTCTGCCCCTCCCCCTGCTTGCTCCCTCTTTCTCTCTCTCTAACAAATAAATAAAATATTAAAAAAAAGAAAAAGCAAATGTCATTATTACATGTTCCTGGGACAATTTTTACCTCCCAAGCATATTCAGCAAAAGACACCATGATAATGGGGCGCCTGGATGGTTCAGTTGGCTAAGCCGCTGCCTTCGGCTCAGGTCATGATCCCAGAGTCCTGGGATCAAGCCCCGCATCAGGCTCCTTGCTCAGAAGCCTGCTTCTCCCTCTCCCACTCCCCCTACTTGTGTTCCCTCTCTCGCTGTCTCTCTGTCAAATAAATAAATAAAATCTTAAAAAAAAAAAAAAAAGACACCATGATACTGCTAAAAACACCAGCTCAGGAGTCAGGCAGATCTCAGCTTAAATCCTGACTCTGCCAATGGCTAACTTTGTGACCTTGAGTAAGAGCCTTTAACCCATGGTCTGATGTTCTCCTCCTAAAAGGGGATAATACTAAAGAAAAAAAGGGGAGAGAAGAAAGAAAATAAAAGGGCAACATACTCCTATTTCAGGATTGACATAAAAATTAAATGCGATGATGGATATAAATAGCTCAGCACACAGTGCCCAGTACAAGTAGTCAATAAGCGGAACCGATTATTACCTGCCTCTCATTTTTCTTTTCTACTCTTGTCTCCCAAGACACTACTCAAAACACTAAAACCCAGACTACTTCTTTCCCCACACTCATACCATGTTCTGAAAACTGAAAACCCTTCAGAGAGGGACTTCATAACTTCTCAAATACTTGCACTAAGCTTCTCCTGCACTCCACATTAGCCTCTCAATAAGCAGGGACAAAAGAAAGAAAGAAAAAATAAAAAATCTGGGCGCCTGGGTGGCTCAGTCGTTAAGCGTCTGCCTTCGGCTCACGTCATGATCCCAGGGTCCTGGGATCGAGCCCCGCATCGGGCTCCCTGCTCCGCGGGAAGCCTGCTTTCCCTCTCCCACTCCCCCTGCTTGTGTTCCCTCTCTCACTGTGTCTCTCTGTCAAATAAATAAAATCTAAAAAAAAAAAAAAAAATCTGCAATCCTCCTCTATTACTCTACCACCAAGAATTCAAACTTGGCATATCCTCAAACTACAATTACCCCTAGCTCTCCAAAATTTCTAAACCAGATACTTCCTCCTCGGCAACTTTCAACCATATTGCCGTTCTCACTTTACCGAGTCTACCCAGTGAGACATTGGGCTCCTTATCCAGGCTTTGATTCATCATCATCTACTTTTCGGCTACTTTCTTTTTTTTTAAGATTTTGTTTATTTATTTGTCAGAGCGAGAGAGCACAAGCAGGGGGAGCAGCAGAGGGAGAGGGAGAAGCAGGCTCTCCGCTGAGCAGGGAGCCCGATGTGGGGCTCGATCCCAGGACCCTGGGATCACGTCCTGAGCCGAAGGCAGCCGCTTAACCGACTGAGCCACCCAGGCGTCCCACTCTCTGCTACTCTCACCATCACCTATGCTAACTCAACCCCATACGACTTTTTCATCTGCCAGTGGCACCTCCAATCCTCACCTAATCATCCCTGGAGTTCCAAAGTTTCCAATCTTGCTTCGAGACAACAGCACACTATGCCATGCAGATCTATCACATAAAACCTTACGAATGTCATTTTATTAGCCTTTTAATAATTTCCTCTGTGGTTTCCAAAAGTTGATTATAACCTTCTCCAAACTCTTCAAGACTGTCACCTAACACTCTCCTCTGAGTCATCAGATTACTGCAACTTCCACTTTGCTAAGGACATCAAGGCCATCAAGCATCCCTTCTCTACCAGTCTTTGTAACACCACACATTTTGGTCCTTATACTACAGTAATTAAGAACTTATACTACACTACATTATAATAATAAAGCATTAGTAATTGGCAAGTATTGTTCTAAATGCTTATGTACAATTAACTCATTTAATGCTCACACCAACCTTATGAAATAGTTATCAAAACCTTTTATTTTTTGTAGATTAACAAAGTGAAGCATGTGGGACGCCTGGGTGGCTCAGTCAGTTAAGCATCTGCCTTCCTCTCAGGTCATGATCCCAGGGTCCTGGGATTGAGTAAGGCACAGGGCTCCTTGCTCAGCAGGGAGCCTGCTTCTCCCTCTGCCTGCCACTCCCCCTGCTTGTGTGCTCTCTCACTCTCTCTGACAAATAAATAAATAAAATCTTAAAAAAAATAAAAAGAAAGAAAGAAAGTGAAGCATAGGGAAATCATAGGACTTTACCCATATTGTTAAAGAGCCAAGTTACAGAAGTCTGGATCCATCTGTTGCTTTCTAGACCAATATGTTCCATGGACTCCCATGCTCTTGACTTTTCCATGTAATCCCACATAATCTCAAAGTCACCCTTCAATAGGGGCTAGGAATGGTGATCAGACAGGGTTAGCCTTAGCTGTTACGATTTAATATTTTTTCAAGGAAAATATATTCAAGTATGATTTGTGAAAAAAAAATGTATAAAATGACTTACTACAAAGGTATAGTAATCAAAACTATAGTACTGATATAAAGACAGACATACAGACCCATGGAATAGAATAGAGCCCAGAAATAAATTCTCAGGTACATGGTCAAGTGATTTTTTTTTTTTTTAAGTAGGCTCCACGCCCTGCACAGAGTCCAACATGGGGCTTGAACTCACGACCCTAAGATCAAGACCTGAGCTGCGATCAAGAGTCCAACACTTAACCAACTGAACTACCCAGGTGGTCGAATGATTTTTGATAAGGATGCCAAGACCAGTCAATGAGGAAAAGACAGTCTTTTGAACAAATGGTGCTGGGATAAATGAATATTCACATGCAAAAGAATGAAACTGGACCCTTACCTAAAACCACACAGAAAAATTAACTCAAAGTTAACTCAAAACTCAAATTTAAGAGCTAAAACTATAAAACTCTTCAAAGAGTTTGTTTGCGGTGACGAAAAAGTTCTAGAGATGGATAAGCACAATCATAACAACATGATCTTGATTTGATGCCACTGAACCATACACTTTTAAAAATGGTTAAAATGGTAAATTTTATGTATATTGTATTTTACCACAATAAAGAATAAATAAATTGGGCGCCTGGGTGGCTCAGTCATTAAGCGTCTGCCTTCGGCTCAGGTCATGATCCCAGGGTCCTGGGATCGAGTCCCACATCGGGCTCCCTGCTCGGCGGGAAGCCTGCTTCTCCCTCTCCCACTCCCCCTGCTTGTGTTCCTGCTCTCGCTATCTCTCTCTCTGTCAAATAAATAAATAAAAATTTTTTAAAAAGAATAAATTAATTTATATATAAAATCAATAAATATAAAAAACATATTATAATTATAAAATAAATTAATTAATAAATTTATTATATAAATTAATAAATATATAAAATTTATAAATTAATAAATTTCTTTATAAATTAATAAATTTATAAAATTAATAAATATATTAAACTTATAAAATTAATAAATATATAAAACTGACCCCTCTGTTCATGTCCTAGCTCTCTCCTTTCTGATTCCTGAATGATGTCATTCCGAGTCTATCTACTTCATTATCAGTCTCCTCACAGGCTATCACTCCTTCTCTACAAGCTCTTACTCTCTGCCTTTAAACTTGGAGCCTTCATTTTCTCTTCTATGCAGATGGTCCCAAAATGTACATTTCCAGTCCTGATGGCTCCACTCCTCATTCAGGATTTCCACTTAAATTTCCTGTTAACGCCTCTAACTCAAATATCCAAAAGAAAACTTATTCCCTTTGAATTACTCCTTTTGAAATTCATTGTAATGTCAGCACTGCTCCAGTTACTCAAGTTAAAGTTAAAAGCAGCACCCTACTAAACTTCTAGGTCGTTTTTCATACCACTCTGTCATCCATAGCACTTTTGACAATCTGTCATTATCTTGGGTATTGGTTTGCTTACTTACATGCTCTATCTTCTAGACTAGAAAAAATATAAATACAAGCTCCATGAAAGTTAGGAATCTTGTCCATCTTAATCACAACTCTGTCCTCAGTTCTGGTATAGCACCTGGCACATATCAGTCTCAACAAATATTTACCAAATGTTGTTACAGCTTACATTTGTTTTTATTAACAATAATAAAGTATGCGGAATACTATAAATTGCATTTAATACTTAATCATATTCACAAAAATCCTACTGAGGAAGTATTTCTCATTATTATGCTCTGTTTTATAAATGAGAAATGAGTTTTATACTGGTTAAGTGTCTTTCTCATGCTCATAACACTAAATAAGAGAATAAGGACTAGAATCCAAGGACTCAACTATATCACATTTGCCTGTTTAATCAACAAATTTAAAAAACACACTCCTACACATATTTGTTTCAAAGAAATGAAGTTGATTCGGAAATGCCAAAAACCTCAGAATCTCTCTTTGGCATATCAGTACATGGCTAATAAGCCACAGGCTTCAGGTATGCCTCCCAGGGACACAGAGAGGATATAATGTAAAATAGCTGAAAAATCACGCTAGGTATGTTCCATCCATTACTATTACTCTGGGGGCATAACTTATACTGAATTACATTGATAGTGATGTCCTCAAACTACTAACTGGAACCTTCTCACCCAGCAGTAGTAAGAATCCCATGGTTACCAGATACCCTATCAGTCAGGTAGCCCTTGGATAGTATAGAGACCATGTCTTCTTGATCTCTGTAGACCTACCACTTAGCCCAGTGGCTAAAACCCAGGAGATGCACAATATTGTTTATTCAAGAATGAAGGAATATGGGAAATGCAAAGATATCAGACAGTACCTTACCTTGGGCTCTTCCTGATCGTCCAGCGAAAACTCCATCAATTCATTGGAAATCTCCTCTGCTTGATCTTCTAGTTCTGGATTTTTATCCAATTTTGGAAGTGTAGTAATGGGGCTGCCCAGATACTTCATTTCACTTTCCAAAAAGTTTCCATTGTCCTGTCAATTATATGGACAATATTAATAACTATTCAGGACCCCTTACCTTCCATATACAAAAATTAATTCAAAATGAATCAAAGACCTAAACATAAAAGCTAAACCTGTAAAACTCTTAGAAGAGAACAGTGGAAAAAGTTCATAATATTGGATTTGGCAATGATCTCATTAATAATACACAAAAGCATGGACAACAGAAGAAAAAAATGGACAAATTGGACTTACCAAATTAAAAACTGTGCACCAAAAAATACCACCAAGAAAGTAAAAAGACAATGTACAAAATGGGAGAAAATATTGACAAGTCATATACCTGATGAGGGATTAATACCCAGAATACATAAAACACTCATACAGTGTAACACCAAAAAAACGAAAGATTTAAAAATGGTGCAGCAGAGGGAAGTCTGGGTGGCTCAGTCAGTTAAGCGTCTGCCTTCAGCTCAGGTAATGATCCAGGGTCCTGGGATCAAGTCCTGCATTGGGCTCCTTGCTCAGCAGGGAGCTTGCTTCTCCCTCTGCCTGACGCCACCCCTACTTGTGCTCTCTCTCTCTGTTTCTGACAAATAAGTAAATAAATAATCTTAAAAAAAAAAAATGGTGCAGCTGATATGGATAACAGTATAGTGGTTCCCCCTCAAATTAAATATAGCATTATCTTATAATCCACCAATTCCATTTCTGGGTATATACTCCAAAGAATTGAAAGCAAGGATTCGAACAGATATTTGTATACCAATATTCATGGTAACATTATTTGCAATGGGAAGAGGTGGAAACAATCCAAATGTCCATCAACAAGTTAATGGATAAACAGAACGTTATACCACTAAGTGTCCAAAAGTCAAATTCAGAGAGACAGAAAAAAGACTAGATGTTACCAGGAGCTGGAGGGAGGGAGGAATGGGGGAGTTATTTTTTAATGGGTAGAGAGCTTCTGTTCTAAATGATGAAAAAAAAATGGAAATGAATAGTGGTGATGGTTGCACAACATTGTGAATGTATTTAATGCCTCTGGGTTGTACACTTAAAAATGGTTAAAATGGCAAATTTTATGTTATGTATACCTTACCACATTAAAAGACACACACACACACACACACATATACACAGGAAACTATTCAGTAATTTACCATGCTCCAAGTCTTCCTTTTCTCCAAGAAATCAAAAATCTGAAACATGGTCAACCTAATCTACTTATGATGAGCTATGTTAAAATGACTTTTCCCTAGGATTGAGATAGAAATGACTTTTCCCTAGGATTGAGATTAGACCCTAAATCCCTGGAGTTATCTTGAATCCACTGTCTATTAAAAGCAAGTGAGTGCCTGGGTAACTTAAGACTCCAGTAGCTAAATGGACAAAAGACACAGTCATTTACTAGGTAAAATATATATGGCTAATATTCACATGAAATCACTACTAATTGTTTTTTTTTTTTTTTTAAGATTTTATTTATTTATTTGACAGAGAAAGACACAGCGAGAGAGGGAACACAAACGGGGAGTGGGAGAGGGAGAAGCAGACTCCCTGCCGAGCAGGGAGCCCGATGCGGGACTCGATCCTGGGACTCCAGGATCATGACCTGAGCCGAAGGCAGTCGCTTAACCAACTGAGCCACCCAGGCGCCCGCTACTAATTGTTTTTAACATAAAACATTTACCAATCTAATTAGCAGTTAAAAAAATAGTAACATTTATCCAAAGACCTATAGATTGATCATGAATATGTAAATTCCTACAACATTTTTGGAAAGGAATCTCACTATATGTAACAAAAATCTTAAAAATATACACTTTAACCTCGTAATTATAATTCTTGGTACTAATCCTAAAGAAAATATTTTGAAATATAGGTAAAGATTGATGCTCAAGAATTACATAATAGCATTATTTGTAAAAGCAAAATCTGGGTGCCACTAAGTGTCCAAAAATAGGGAAATAGATTGTAAAGAATTGAGGTAAAATGTTAATAGCAGTTTTCCCTCTATGAGGTAGCTATCTCCTTTTTTATATTCCTATATTCCTATATTTTAAAACCATTTTCACAATGGGCACATAGTACTTTTAAAAACTGGGAGGAGGGCGCCTGGGTGGCTCAGTTGGTTAAGCGACTGCCTTCGGCTCAGGTCAAGATCCTGGAGTCCCGGGATCCAGTCCCGCATCGGGCTCCCTGCTCAGCGGGGTGTCTGCTTCTCCCTCTGACCCTCTTCCCTCTCGTGCTCTCTGTCTCTCATTCTCTCTCTCTCAAATAAATAAATAAAAAATCTTAAAAAAAAAAAAAAACTGGGAGGAGACACAGAAGGAATAAAGATTAAAACAGAAAAATTTTAAATGCCTAAGATTTTTTTTTCCTCCTTAAATTTAAACAAATAAAAAGATCAGGGGACATGTCTCCTCCCTTTTCTGGAGTTACTTCTCCAACCCCTTTTCTCACCCAAGCCTGCTTAGAAAAATTCAAAGGGTTGTAAATGCAGATCTGCCACCCTATAATCCACAACGCCTCAGCAGACCCTTGATGAGGATGTTTGGTGACTCACCAGTAGAGAAAGGGGAGACATGTAAGGCCCCCGTGGTCTCTTTCGAAACTTCAGGGTCCTGGGTACCCACCACTCCAAGGACTTCAAAGTGTTGTTCTCCTGCATAAGAGAAACTACATTGGCTGGAGGAAGACAAGCATCAGCAAGCCCTGCCAAACACATTTCATCAGATGAAGCCATGAATAACCCTCACAAAACACATTAAGTGTAATCAAGGTTGATCCTATATCCTGATACAAATTATGGTTTGAATTTGACGTATGATATGTAGATTTGCTTTGGAGGATACTAATTTTACAATCACAAGTAAAGGAAGGGAGGAAGAGGGGAGCCTGAGTGGGGAGGGGATGGTGAGATTTTTAAAAAGTTATCAGAAGGAAAAAAAAAGTTATCAGAAGGACAGTATCAAATCAAGAAAGCTGATTAGAACAGCCAAAAACATGGGTATAACTTAGTGTGAGAAAAGAACAGAAGCTATCTTTTATAAACACTGACCTGGGGGAAAGGAAGGGAGGCAGGAAATAGAAAAAGATGGCTAGAAAAGAGAATTAGTTGAAGGGATTATTTAGATAATTATCTTAGTGATTAGGTGGCTCTAAGGAGCCCAGTTCAACTTAGAACTGATGGAGGGGGGCGCCTGGGTGGCTCAGTCCATAAGCATATGACTCTTGGTTTCGGCTCAGGTCAGGAGGATCTCAAGGTCGTGGGACTGAGCCCTGCCTCAGGCTCTGCACTCAGCAGGGAGTCTGCTTGGGGATTCTCTCCCTTTCCCTCTGCCCCTTCCCCACCCTTTCTCTTTCTCTCTCTAAAATACTTTAAAAAAAACCAAAAAACAAAAAACTGATGGAGGGCCTGAGGCTCAGAGAAAAAGGCCCATGGCTTTCTCAGAATTCTAAGAAGCTGGACTAAGGGAGAAATAAGAAATAAAGTAGACCCATACATGAAGCCATGCAAAGAGTATATTAACAACTTATGTACATTACCTTTATTTGTTTAAAAAAAAAAAAAAGTTCTAAATTCCCAAACTACAGTAACAAATTTTTTGTCCTTAAACGAATCAACTGAACATGGGTAATAATGACGACCTGCAGTGGAAGACTTGGAGCTAGGTTTCTGTTCTAGGGTCAAACCTTAAAGAAAAAAAAACAAACCATAAAGAATTTTTTGCCTAGGGGCGCCTGTGTGTCTCAGTTGGTTAAGCCTCTGCCTTCAGCTCAGGTCATAGGGCTCCCTGCTCAGTGGGGAGTCTGCTTCTCCCTCCCCCTCTGTCCTTCCCCCCTGTTCATTCTCTCTCTCTCTCTCAAATAAATAAATAAAATCTTAAAAAAAAGAATTTTTGCCTATAGTGATGCAGTTTGCTTGTCTGCACACTGAGGCATAAGGGTTCTAGGTCTCATAATGATACTGATGAGTTGCCCTCACAGGAAGAAAAGTGCTAATGAATCTAGGTTTCTGTTTACCACTCACATTTTCTTTATTTGTGGATGAGCTACATATTGCATCTTTCTTCCTGTTGCCATGGTCCAAAGCATTTGGAGTGCTACAACGCAGCTGTGCCTACAAGAGAACGTTTTCTGAGAAAATCCAGCATCCTTGAGCCACAGGTGAGCTGGAAAGCCTCTGTCTCCCACCTGAGAAACAAACCCAAACCCAAGAAAGAGATGCTACTCACTGGGCTGCATTTTGTAAGGTGCTGTTGATGATTCCTGCAGACCAAAAAAACTGCCAGTCAGTTAACCCAAATACTGTTTGGTTATTTGTCAGTGGCTTGGGGCATCCCAACTTTTCCTTTCTTCCATGCAAGGAACCCTATACCTAGTTGATGTGTCTCTTTCAGTAACAATATGTAGGGTGCTCTCTGGTAAATATGAAGATGTTGAGTGACATCCTGGAGATAAGGCCCTCATTTCTTGTGCATAACCATATATACAGATATACATCAAAGATGATGAGTTTGTCCTACATCTTATGTAGACACAATTGACTAATTTTCCAGCTTTGGCTATTAGGAGCTTATATTTATTTTTTATGAATTACTATCCTTCCTGCCAGGATTTTATCCAGTCTACATGGGTTAGGACATTTTAAGCAAGTCAAAGAAACTAAAGCAATCCAAAGTGAAATTTTCACATGTATTATTAAAAACAATCATGGAGGGGCACCTGGCTGGTTCAGTCACTGGAGCATGTGACTCTTGATCTCCAGGTTGTGAGTTCAAGCCCCAGGTTGGGTGTAGAGATGACTTAAAAATAAAATCTTGGGGCACCTGGGTGGCTCAGTCGTTAAGCGTCTGCCTTCGGCTCAGGTCATGATCCCAGGGTCCTGGGATAGAGCCCCGCATCAGCTCCCTGCTTGGCGGGAAGCCTGCTTCTCCCTCTCCCACTCCCCCTGCTTGTGTTCCTGCTCTCACTATCTCTCTCTGTCAAATAAATAAAATCTTTAAAAAAATAAAAAATAAATATAAAATCTTTTTTAAAAAATAATTAAATAAAAATTTAAAAAGTCACGGAATGCTTTCACTAGTGCACCGTAGTGGCACCTAATTCACCTAAATATCGAAGAACAAAGTTCTAAGAAGATTAAAACAGTCAAATGGAAACCTTACAATAAGCCTAAGAAGTTAAGAAGTTGAATTAAAATTACTTTTCAGGGCAACCCTGTTGGGACCCCTCTCACTCTTGAGAGCTTTTTTGTATCTTCACTTAATAAACTTCTTTTGCTTCGCTCACACACACAAATTACTTTTCATTCCTTGAGGATTCCCCAGTTGAACATTTTAGATCTCCAACAAAGAATCCCCATGTATAATAATACTAAACATTATAAAATGCTTGGCATGTGCTAAATTTCATCCTTACGAGAGCAGTTATGAGAAGTATTAGTATTATTTCCATTGTTATTTATTACAAATGAAGCAACTGAGGTCCACTGAAGTTACGAAACTTCTTCAGAGTCACAGCTGGGCAAACAGTAAGCCGATGGAATCTAGATACTCTAACATAGCCCTACTCACATGCAGGTAACAGCCGATGCCTAAATGTAATATGCCATTTTCTTTCATTTTTAAAATATAATATGGATTGTATGTAATGGTTAAAATGAACTATTTAGATCTGGGAAACTTAAAAAAACCTTTCAAAGGAAGGATCTAGGCTTTCAAGTTCACTTAACCCAAAGCAAAAGGTTCAATATTCTACAGAGTCTGCATAGGATAAAAATCTCTGTGCCAGTGCTGAAAAGGCTTTAACGTGGGGTTCATTTAGCAAAAGAACTTACATCCCAGTTAAATGTATTTCCTGAGGTCCTTTAGAATCCAAATGACCTGTAATCAGATATGAAGAGTTATTCTTATTCATGCATCCTGTCTTTCCTTCTGGTTTTCTTCATTTCTTAATTTCAAAAGCTGATGTTTTGAACACAAAGGCTCTTGATAGGTACTAAGTTTATGGTACGAGGTACAAGTTCATGAAAACTTAAGAATTTACAAAGAAAAAAATGCTGGGAAACAGTGCCCTAGCCTAAACAACAGAGATTTTTTTTCATGAGTAGAAAATAATGTTTATCATTCAGGAAATCCGAAAGTAGAACAAATACTAAAATGGTTGACTAGTTACTCCTTTTGGACTCAGACCCTACAAAAACACAAGAATTAGTTAGCAAATATTTATGTTTGTTTCTTTGCCTTTATTGAGATTAGAGTAGGGCATAAAACGTCTCATTTTAACTATGGCTTTCATTCCTACCATCAGTTAGTCAACAAAATATTCCTTCCTGTCTAAACTTTTCAAATGCAAAGTGACCCCTATTAATGATATTACATTTCTCTTCTTGGCTTATCATTCTCAAAAATCCACTAGGTACTCACAGAATTCCAACTTCAAGGATCTCTACCTACTTTTACCACCTTCCATATCTATCCAACTACCCTGTCTTCTCCCTTGAAAGCTGTTCTTTCCTTTGAGGCCTTTACCTCCCTTCTCCTTACCAATGTCATCAGTGTCTGCAGAAGTGGTAAGTTGATTGGCAGACATCTCTCCACCACCGCTAAGATTCGAAAGATCAAGGCAACATTTTGGGGTTCCTCTATTGAGACATAATAGTACATCAAGATTCCTATTAGGTTGTAATATCCTTAAAAGGCAAAGATCACATTATCCTCTTCATCTGAAACACCCCTCAACAGTCATTCACACAATCTAAACAGTGTCCAAATAAATCTAGTTGCTTTTTGGCAATATTTCAGAGTAGGCTGAGAAAAATCTCCCACTTTTCTCTACTCCAATAATTTGCATGTCATTTCCTCCTCACCAACATAGTAAGACAAGTAATTTTTTTTAAATTGAGGAACAAGGATTATTGGCTGAAATCAGTCTTGACCCCACATCTTCTCCCCTGCACTGTGAGCACACAGATTTGATTTCTCCTTGGAGTCTCTAGTACTTCTGAGGTCTATAACTCTCCAACTTTGTTTGCTAGCTGAGGCATCAGAGCATGGCATGACCAGAATTTAAAGAATAACAGTAACACTAATATTAATACTAATAAAACAACCAACTCATATAACCCAATAGAGTTTTCGAAGACTTCTCCCAGACATCACATTATTTGATTCCCACAAGATCGTAGTAAGATAGGAAGAGATTATTACTTCTTTGTCACAAAAAAGAAACCTGAGACTCAAGGGTCATATGGTTAATGCAGGGCAGGGTTTAAAATTTCACCCCTGATCTTTGAGTCAGGATAATTTTCAAAAAAAACCAAAGACTTAAAAAAAAAAAAAAGACTGGGGCGCCTGTGTGGTTCAGTTGGTTAAGCGTCTGCCTTCGGCTCAGGTCATGATCCCAGGGTCCTGGGATGAGCCCCGCCTCAGCCTCCCTGCTCAGCGGGGAGCCTGCTTCTCCATCTCCCTGCTGCTCCCCCTGCTTGTGCTCTGTCAAATAAATAAAATCTTAAAAAAAAAAAAAAAAAAAAACCCCAAAGGCTATTCATAAAAGCAAAGGAGATAAGGTGTGAAAAGTGAATTTACCCAGACAAAACGCTTAGGTTTGCAGAATCACCAAAGAGTTTGTTCACTGGAGTTCTAGGGAGATCTGGACAGGTGGTAAAGGAAGTGTCTCTCTCCAGAAGCAGGTTTAATATCTTCCTCCGACTGGATCTAAAACTGGGTCCTGAGCTGAGGCGTCCCTCCTCTCCTGCGGATGAAATGGATTCTGCTGACATGGCCTCCGAAACCTAAGGAAGGAAGGAAAGAAAAGAAAGAAAAGAAAAGGAAAGGAAAGGGAAGGAAGAAAGAAAAAAAAACCTAGCTAAGAGGTGAACATCATCTACATAAGCACCTCACAGGCTGCCCAGTTTTCATAAGCTCCTCCACCCTTCCCAGCAGTGGCCCAGCGGCTCATATTGGAGGAGGGGCATCCCAATTCCAACCGATGAATCCCAGGTCGGCCTGAAGATGAAATCGCACGTGCCCCAAGCGGCTTGGCCTTTTCCTCGGAGCCTGGACTTAACTAGAGGTAAAAGTAAGACTTTTTTTCCCCCAGGTCAGGTCTACAACCCAACGTGGGGCTCGAACTCACGGCCCCCAAATCAACAGTCCCACGTTCCATCGACTGAGCCAGCCAGGCGCCCCAAACCCAAGACTTTAAAAAAGGAATGAAAAGAGGCTTTCACTTGTTCGGGGGCTACACAGCTCGTGACTCATGGCAAGGAAGGAATTCAGGTCTCTTAACTCGCGACAATAACTATTTAGGTCCCCTGAAGTTCTGTTTGTGAGACCCCGACCGGACTATGAGGGGACGCTGGGGTCTCAGATTCCGGTGGAGAAGGCCCTGCGCTTACCTCAGGAGAAACGGAAGTGGGAAATCAGTCACAAGCAAAGACTTAATCAAAATTAAAAGAAATCTGAGGAAAGGAGTCAATTAACCAGACTACAATTCTGCTTCTAGACAGGATAGGTTCGGGTCGAGGTTTGCGCTTCTCTCAGGAGAGGGTCGAAGTTATAGCCTCGGTGCAAGAATATCAACAGTCACAGGTCCTGGCAATTCAAACCTTCCGCCTTCCCAGTAAACCTATCCCATTCCCCTCAAAGCTGCGCCAGCCAATCTGCGCGCGCCCGCCCAGAGCCCCCCCACCCCCACCCCATAGCCAATCGTTTGGCTCTACATCACCAGGCGTGAGCTTGCTTTGGCAGGAACACAATTTGCCCCGCCCCTCAGACAGAGCAGGATGCCCATTGGCCCATCAGCGTTCAGCGAGCCCCGAGGTAAGCCCCGCCCTCCTGGGTGCTTGGCACACCATTGGCTCTTCCTCTGACCAATCGCCACAGCCTTCCCGGGCTCTCCCTTCCCTCAGCCCCTCCAACCCCGGGAGATTTAAACTGCAATTCGTGAGCGATTATCACTCTTTAGGATAATATCTGGGGAGATTTGTTTGGATGCAGGGTGTTTTAAACGTTTCTCTTTCCTTGCTTCTTTCTTGTGTCGTTACGTGGGTCTTTTCCTCTTCGTTTTACTTGACTTCAGTTGGAAATGGAGCCTTCTCCACTGGTATGGCAGATGTTGAGACGAGACAGGTGTGTGTACTTATGCTGAGCAGCTCTGGCCCCTTCTAAGAGCGTTCCTTGTTCGGTGTTCCTTTTACAGCGCAGCATCTCTTAGACGCTAGGTTATGTAGGATAAAGGAAATTTCTTTTGAGGGAAAGCGGGGGAATTGAATCATCTCTTGGCATAATCCTTATCACAGTCCAAAGGATTACAATCTTCGGTCGTTTATGGAAATTTGGACACTGATGAAGTGATATTTAAAATTATTTTTTCCCCCTAAAGTTTATTTATTTATTTTTGTAATCTCTACACCCAATGTGGGGTTCAAACTCAGGATCCCAAGATCAAGAGTCCCATGGTCTTCTGACTTAGCCAGTCAGGAACCCCAAGAATTTATTCTTTTATTTTAATGTTGAAGATTTTAATAGTCATGTGGAGGTAGTAGTGGGCATAGATGAAACAAGATTTGCCATGAGTATTAGCTGATGGGTAACTGGGGATCCATGATATCACTGCTCTCAAAGTTTAACATGCATTCTAATCATCTGGAGATCTTGTTAAAATGCAGGTTCTGATTCAGTAAGTCTGGGTTGGGGCCCAAGATTCTGCACTTCTAACAAGCTTGCAACTGATGCTGATGTGGCTGGTCCCAGGACCATACTTTGAGTAGCAAAACATTATGCTGTGTTCTTCTCTGTATTTTTCCATAATAATAAAAAAAACTTCAAAATAACCTGGAAGCTCTTTAAAATGCAGGCCCTCAAAATGATGATTCATTAAGTTGAGAGTGGGACCTAGGAATTATCAAGGCTCCCAGGGCTACTCATGCTGATGTCTTGCAGACCACTCTGGGAAACAAATCAGAAATGCAACCTTTATCTTTGAGAAACAGTTAAGTCAGAAATACAATCTTTATCTGGTGTCCACATCTTGGTGGTGGTACAGTGTAGTCAGCTAGGTTTTATCCTAACACCCCTTTCATCTGTAGAATCTGCTTCCCCAGAAAGGAAGTGTGTGAAGAACCTTTGTACTCTGGGATTGAGACGGTGAGTGTGGGAGTCAGCACAGAGCCCTGCCATGCCAGGTGAGTTTGAAAACCAGACTGGGGGTTAAGGGAATGTGTGTGGGATGAGTTGGTTTCTGCTTTGATAACCATAATCACACTTCATGGGGCCACTGTATACTTCCCCTGCAGGTGGGAGGTAGAGACAGATGAAATTGTTCTACAGCGGCGGCAAAAACAGATAGATTATGGCAAGCGCACACCTGGTTACCAGTGTTTTCTGCAGCAGGTCCCCAAGTGAGTGCAGCTGTGGGTGGTCACAACAACAGTGTCATCCAAGTGGCTTTGGTTTAATGTAGGGTGATGGAAAGATACTAGAATCTGAGTGCTCTCACAAATTTGCATCATTACTACAACTAATTCTCCTGCAATGTAGCCCCAAAAATAAATTTTCAAGATTTTTTTTTCAAATGGAACAAATCATACTTGGCCCATGAGAGTTTTTAAAGTTCTATTCAGTTTGCTTTGAAGTTTTTTCTTTCTAACCATTTTTACCTCATACGTCCAGCTGACTTCGCTAATTAGAACATACTTGCCTAATTACATGTTTCCATGCATACATGCAACCTAAATGTATAAAAAGGTAGTATGTATCTTAAAGGGATGTCAGATACTGTCTTTATATCTATCTTGACTTCTAAGAGAGTTGGAATATCTAAATTACCTTTCCCAGAAGAATATTAGGAATTTAGGAAGTTTAGTGCTAATCCCATCGGAAGATTTCTTTTTCTTTTTTTTTAAGATTTTATTTATTTGGGCGCCTGGGTGGCTCAGATGGTTAAGCGTCTGCCTTCGGCTCAGGTCATGATCCCAGGGTCCTGGGATCGAGTCCTGCATCGGGCTCTCTGCTCCTTGGGAGCCTGCTTCTCCCTCTGCCTCTCTCTCTCTGTCTCTCATGAATAAATAAATAAAATCTTTTAAAAAAATTAAAAAAAAATTAAAAAAAAGATTTTATTTATTTGACAGAGAGAGACACAGCAAGAGAGGGAACACAAGCAGGAGGAGTGGGAGAGGGAGAAGCAGGCTTCCCGCAGAGCAGGGAGCCCGATGTGGGGCTCGATCCCAGGACCCTGGGATCATGACCTGAGCTGAAGGCAGACGCTTAATGACTGAGCTACCCAGGCGCCCCTGAAGATTTATTTTTTCTTATTGAATTGAGGGCATTGGTCCTACCTGACTCTCAGGAAATCCCTGAGCCTCCGAATTCACTGTGATAAACAATGAGCTGTGCCCATTTATCTTGACCTGAGTCTTACACATATTTGTCATTGCCAGGGCAAAGCGACAGCCAGGACTTCACCCTCAAACACCAAACAAGAAGAGGAGGTACAGCCGTCGCTCCTGGGATGCCCAGATCAGGCAGTGGAGAAGAGCCCTACATTCTTGGGACCCCCCCCAGCCAGCCCCTGCAGGGCAGGGTTCTGAGGGGTATGTGCATTATTTTTGGTTCCTTGTTTGAATGGTGGACTGAGCCCCACCTCTCCTCACTTTGTAGAGATTTAGCTTTTACTGGCTGAAAAGGGAGAGTCTGAATGAGATGCATGTTCCTCTGACTCTGCTGCCTTCCTAGGCAGGGAATGGAGCTTCTCTTAGAGCCAATGGGTTCCACCCATTTGGATGACCTCCTGGATGACTGGTTCCAGGTCCTGGAACCCTCAGTGAATCTGGATGGAGACCAGAAGGGAGCCCAGGTAGTATCTTCTTCTAAAACCCACTGGAGCAGGGTTAGAGATGGGGTCTGACCCATGAGGAAAAAATTAGGATGGGGTTCAAGGTAGCAGTTGAAGAAAAAAAGAAGAAAAATGGGGCAGCAGGAAAAAATAGGACATGAATAAAAAAATCTGAGAACTGAAGGTGGCATAAGGAGATTTAATTGTAGTTGGTAATGGTGGGAAAGTTGGGCTGCATTGGAGGTTATTTTATACTTGATGAAAGGGGTATAATCTTCCTTGGAAATGAGGCCTCGAAACCTAACATGAAGGGTTTTGGGGTTTTTTTTTAAGTCTATTTATTTCAATGTTTTGCAAATGAGCCAATGCTAACTTATTATTCTCAATCACTGAACTTTATTAACTATGGTTAATAATAAAATGAGTATCACCAAGTGGTGAAGATCACGGGCTTTAGAGCCTCAAGGACTGCTTTGTAATATTACCTTGGCCCACCACATGGGCAGTCACTTAATCTCTCTGACCATTTCATCTGTCAAATAGGGAGATTTGTCTCATTTGATGATTCTAAGCAAAAAATGAGAATACATATTTAAAGTATGTAGCACAGTGCCTGGCACATAATAAGTGCTCCACAACAGCAATTATTGGAAACCATGTCTCCTATACTTCAATGGCCCCTGCCGCCTCTTTTGCCAAGGGATTTGAAATGTGCAAGGAAATGTGCAGTGCGTCTTCCCTCCACTACCATTTTCTTGATAAACAGCTCACTTTGCCTCTACTCTTCTTTTTCAGTTTGCAGACTTGGGGCTCCTGCCTACTCCCTTCCCTGGCTCTGTGAGGAAGATCCCCACCACTGGTTCTACTTTCTAGCTGATCACAGTTATATATCTGTCCCAGATTTGAGTGGGGCACAAAATATTTAGAGAAAACAGACGTCTTTCAAGGGACGTGTTGCTAAGTGTAACGGTGAAGATTACTTGCATTACTGCTACTTCCCAATCGATTAAAAAAAAATAATAAATCTAAAACTGCCCTTTAAAGAGATCACAACACGAAGGCATTGTTTAAAACTTTTCCCCATTTTTGCCTGCTTTCCTAAACCTTCTTTGATAGCTGAGACTCAAATTTACGTAAGAGCCAGTAACCATTTAGCTGTTCCCCAACCTCTTCCCTACTAACGTCTACGTTCAGTCTTTTCAAAAAAGACCTAAACTTTGGCTGAGGTGGGAGGTGGTAGTAGTGGTGGAAATTTAATAAACGGTGGCATCCTCTTCCTGAAGAGGAAATACATAGCTTATCAACATCTCTTACCTAGCTGACTGTTTCCTTCCTCCCTCCCTTTCTGTCTTAAGGAAAGTGGTCCAGCTGTAACCACCATACTCCCCCCTCCCCCCCCCACCCCCGCAAGCAACTGAACCGCCTATGATGTCATAATCACAACCCCATTACCTCATCCTGCTGGGGGGTGGGGGTGCGTAGAGGAAGGAGGAGGCGTGAACAGTCCTGGGCCCTCCTCAGCTTTACAAAGTGTTTTGAGTGAGGGCTAATTACAGAACCAATTGGAACGGCCCCGCAACCGTTACAAGTCCTGGGTTTATAAGGTTCGAGGCGATCCGGCAGCTAGAAGAGGGGCTCCTGAGACTCAGAGCAGGCCCTAATCTGCTCTTGGACTACATTTCCCAGAAGCCTTCACGCCTTGGACGGGTCCTCTGCTGGCGGAAGGGGGATTCCTTCTGAGAGGCGGCCGTAGAGGGCGGGACAGGAGAGCAGGTAAGAGGAACTTTGGCTATTTCTGTTACGCGGCCCGAATCGAGTGGGGGGCCGTACTTGGGCCGATGTTGGAACCGAGGGCGAGGGGAATGGCTTTGTTTACCTTCGTCCGACACGGTCTCCCCCGCGGGTTTGGAGATGTGCCGCCAACTGGGCCCGTCCACCTTCTGCAATATTTTGGAGGGGGTGACTCGATAGTGAAGAAACCACGTTCACCCCTAAATCAAACAGCCTGGCTCCTTCCCGACAGCACTTTTCAAAAAAGACTTTGAGAGAGAAACGACGCGGGGTTCGAGCCTCCGCGGGCGGTTCAGGGCGATTCTGCGAACCAGAGCGATGCCCCCACTCTCCTTAGGGGCCCGTTGGTTCGCGCCGGCGCCTTTTAAGGGCACCGTGGGGCGAACGGAGCGCTCAGAGCTGCTCCGGCCGCGGCCCTGGGAGCTGGAGGAGCCGCGGTAGGTGGCGAGGGCAGGTGGCGCTGGGGCCTCGGGGCGGGCACCTCGACCGTCCCTCCCTCCTTCCCTCTTTCCCTTCCCCCAGCCCGGCCGCGCGCGCGGCACGGCCTCTCTGGACGCCTCCGCAGGGAGAGCACGGGACCCGGTGGGGGAGGGGTTGGCGGAGTGCTAAGTCCCAGACCCTCTCCATCCCCTGCGTCCTGAGTTCGCTTCCCGCGGCCAGATGATGGAAGCTGATTGGGAAGAGGCGAAAGACAGCCCCCTTGAGCGAGCCCTGGTGCCCCCCTAGGGGCTAGCGGACGCCCCATGCCCCACCCCGCAGGGACAGGCAGGGCAACCGAGGGAGAGGTTGAAGACTGGAGGGGGGCCTAGCCTTTCGCTTCTTCATCGGGGTGGGGGGAGGGGTGCTCCCCACTTGTCACCCCTGTCCCCGCCAGAGCCATATGGAGGAAGAGCAGTCAGGTCCCCACTTACCTGTTCATGCACCTCCCTGCCTCCCACATGTTTTTCTTTAGTGTCCCCCAGAGGTGTGGGGCTGGGACGTGGGGGGAAGGTCCCCAGGGGATTTGTGACTCTCCTCCCCCTTGGTCTGACTTGATCCTAGGTTCTCCAGGTTTCAGCACAACCTCAGCATCCCTGAAACCCGAATGTCAGGGGCTCCTGCCATCCAATAGGAGATGGGGTGGGGGTCCAGTCTTTATTTTAGGGGGCTGATGGTGGAGGGAAAGCCTGGATAGAGAATTGGGCCTGGTGGGGCCGTGGGGAGGGCCTAACGGCCTGCTGCTCTGTGAAGGGCTGAGTCCTGTGCCAGTTGTTAAGCTGAGAAGTTTTAACTTGTTTAGTGAACGTTCAGGGCTGTCTCTGCCCCTCAGATATACAAAATGGAAGGGGAAGGAAGGCGGCAAGAGAGGGTTGCTTACACTTTTTTCTATGCCTGCCTGAGAAAGAGGAGGCCCCTCGCGGAGCTGGTTTGCCTTCTTTTGTGTCCTGGTTTGATTCCTTATGGCTTCCGTTCTGTTCCCCCTCTCAGCCTGGCCTGTTTTAGGAAACTCAGGCTGAGAGTATCAGTTGCGTGGTGGTAGTTGCATTGTTCCAATTACCGCCGTGTGTGGCCACATCCCAACAATTAAAATGCAGAAAAACACAAAATCACTCTCTTCACTTGATCCCAGAGAGGGCTGGGAGTTTGCTGTTTGGCCACATGCCTCATGAAAAGCTTGAAAGAGTTTGCTTCACTCCCTGCTCTTCATGGCTGGTCAGCCTGAGGCCTGGGATCTCTGGGGTGAAAAGCCTGCAGTTAGGTTCTGTCTCTAGTTGATCTTTTGGGGCAGAGTTAAGAAACCAAGAGCAGAAGTGATATAAGCTTTAGCTTTTCCCACAAGAACATAGGGGAAGCTGCTGAAGGGAGCTCTCAGGAAGCTGGAACTTTGTTCAGGGTGGTAATAATAATTATGCATGAAAATAATAGTTAACTGTAATGATGATGGACTTCTCCTACAGCGTCCAAAAAACTGCAGATACGTCTACATGTATGTAGTTCTTTGCTCTTCCTTACCTACCTCTCTCTGAGGTGGGAACGGGGTAGAGATGATTCTTTCTGCAAAAGTAGAAAGTGATCTGCCTCCGAGGTCACAGGAGAGCCGTTTTGGGCTTCCCTAGGTGTTCAGGTGAGGGAGGTTGGCATCCAGCCAAATAGATACACCCAATTGCCTTATTTATCTTAATGATATTATCACTTGTGGCATTCTTAGGCTGTGTAGAGCAACAAACAGGAGGGTTTGAGAAACAGCAGTCTATGTGGACTCCTGATTTGTACAGGCTGGATGGTACGCTTTTTGTATTTTGATATTTCGTGTTACAGTGTCCCCATGACAGATTAATAAGAGATTTATTCTGCCCATTTTACATGTACGTTAACTAAGGCCAAGAAAGGTCAAGTTATTTCCCAGAACTGTCATAGCAAATTGGAGCAAGACTTAGATTTCTTGAATGCTTGCTGTATCTATTAGAGAATGCTACATATACCCTCTGATGAGCTGTCTGCCTGCTGGTCATTTCTGGGAATAGGCAGAACCATATGGAAACACTAGGTTATCCTCCCCTACTCCATTGAGTAAGGCCCCTCAGGCAATTGTGTGGGCTTGAAGCCTGTTCTCTGATAGAATTAGTTTGCTTATGCTGAAATTGACCATGAGAAGGAGTCTTGATTAATTGAATCCATGGTCTTTGAGTAAGATCAGGCTAAAAACTTAGTTGAATGAAGTCATACAGTTGTTGTTTTTAACATGTATAGAGTTAAAATGTAATTGGAAAAATCCTGGTACCACTTCTCTATCTTCTTACCATCTTATAAGAGAATATATACAGTATCTGTTGGAAAACAATAATATATCAAACATTCAAGCTAGGAGAGAACATAAACTTTGTTTACTTTGATTGGTCTGAAGCAAAAAGGATTCCTACAACCAGTGCTCCTCCCTGTTCCCTGTTACTATTTCTGTAGTTTAGGAAAAGGGTACCTCTCTGTTTCTGTTTGGAAGATAAAATATTGGGGTAATCAGGATGGAAGTAACCATTTGGGCATCCCTCTCTCACTTGAGCTGTTTTTTAATTGGTGCTGGTACACTGGGTAGACAAAGCACAGCATGAACCAGGTTAGGAGTGGCAAATAGGTTTCAACATGCTTGCTAACTCCAGTTCATTTTACTGGTTAACTGGAGTGCGAAGTTCAGGATGTTTCTGAGGCTGTGTTTAGGCTTAGCAGGAAAGAGCTGTGATCAATTAATGATGTCTGCCAGAGGCCTGGCATAGGGATGCTGTGGTATGTGTGCCATGCATTTTCCACCTTTGGGCCAGGTACATTTCTAATATCACTTGGGGCTGGTCCCTCTGTAATTGGCAGACTCAGCAGGCATGACTGGAGAGGGAAGTCCCAATGGTGCTAGA